TAGATGTGGGGAGACAGTGGTTTTTGGAGCTTACATTCTAGTGGAGGATAGGGAAGTGAACATATAAGCAGGTAGTGTAATTCTAGAAGGAGAGGGTGTCCTTTGGATTAGGCAACCAGTGTGGACTTACAAGGAGGACGGTTGAGCTGAGATATATAGAATGGGTCATGTGGAAAGTTAGGGAAAGAAGTAGAAAACAGCTAGTGCCACTGCCGAGGCAGGAGTAGGCATGGTGTTTTTCTAGAATCAAGAATCTGTGGGCAAGGTACCAAGGGAAAGAGTAGATGAGGTGGGAGTGGTACTTAGGACTTTCAGGAAGAAGCTCCATAGGGAGTCACTGAAGATCTGAGTGAATGCTGTGATCTCATTTAAAAGGTTTCTCTGCCTGAGGTAGGGACAGGGGGTTTTAGGGGGCAAAGATAGAAGCAGGGAGACCAAACTTGTAGGTTTGTGGGTAAGAAATGTTGGTGACTCAGACTGGGGTGGTGGCTGTGGAGGACGGAAGTAATGGACGGCGCTACTGTGAATGCTTGTGGGTGATTTTTGTGCCCACTTGAGTATTCCTGTAGGATTGATTCCTAGAAAGGGAATTGCTGTACCAGGGTGTGAATAATAGTAGCTGGCATTCATTAACTGCTGACTATGTGCCAGGTACTATTTTAAGTGCTTTTCATGTAATTGAGTCATAAAGAACCTTGTAGTGTTTGGGCCTCAGCATGGTTAAGGATTTACACACTTAAATTTGATATTCAGTGTTAATGGCTGTTGAATGAAAACCTCTGAAGCAGTCTCAGTCGGTGGAGCGCTGTAGGGCTGTAGGAATCTGGAGGTCGTGGAGCAGCCACATGGCCGGCTGTGACGCTGTCATAGCGCTGGATGTGGCAGTCGCACCAAGAGTTCAGAGGAGGGAGTGCTTGCTTGCATCTCCCTGACAGGATTTTCTGGGGAAATTGCATTGGGGTTGGATTTTGAAGAACAAAGGCTTGGTGGGGGTTGGGGGTGTGCTTTCAGGTGTTGTAATTCAGAGTCTGCACGGGGCAGGTGAAGGTCCTTGGAGTGAGTCATCTTCTGGTAGTGGAAGGTCAGGTTGGGATCTCACCACCCAGCCAGGGTTGAGTGGCCTTAAATGCCAGTGATAGGTTTGTTTTTCAAAAATCACGATCAAGGGCCCTCCCTGGTGGCGCAGCAGGTTAAAGCACTGCACTGAGAAGCTAAGGCCACTTCCGCATGAGTTCGATCCCCGCCAGCCCCGGAGGTGACCACATGGCGTGGCAGACCTCTCCTGACCCGCCCGCTGCTCCCCTCAGCAGTGTACTTCGTCGATCTGCCTGTTCTGCTCTCCACTCTGTCTTTGGTGAATCTTCTCACCGCCCTGCATCTCTGGCCTGTACCAGTTCTGTATGCACAAATAAATAAATCTTACAAAAAAAAAAAAATCACGATCAAACCAAATTGCTGTGACCTTTTATAATTAAGGCAGTGGGGGTTGAAGAGTTCAGTAAGTTAAAGTAACATTTATTCACTGCCATCTGTTAGAGGCCGACAGTTATGCTAGATGGTTTTGCACACACATTTTGACAGGTTCCAAAGGGATTAAATGGCATGACGTTAGAATTGGTATCCGCCTTTTTAAAGATCGATAAACTGAGGTTTAGTGAGATTACGCAGTTTGTACAGTTCACCCACTTAGAAGGCATAGAGCCAGGATTCAGACCTAGAAGGCTTTTATTAGTGGTCACAAGTGCCCTTGGGTACTGAAGGAAACTCAGGGAGAACAGAGCCTGAGAAGTTAGTGGGGTTAGACATTAGGAGGCCATTGGTAATGTCTGAAGAGGCAGGTTTCCAGAAAGAACTGGGCCCTTCTAGTTGTACCCTCAAGATACCTGAGTAGCCAAACAGGAAAGGAGCCAGCCACTGAACGAAAGGGGACCTGTCAGGGCCAGGTGAAGGAAGAGCTGAAAGTGACAACAGAAGCCCAGAAGGTACTGCTGAAGGCCAGGGTACTCATCCTTTCTGATATCCGAAGTTTAAATATGTGCATAACATTCTCTTTGGGAACCCTTCTTATGATATGTGCTCTTTCTTTTTTAAACATTAAAAAAAATATTTATGCACGCATGCATGCAAGAACTGGGGTGCTGGTCACAATTGTTTGGGGGGTGGTGATGGCGGTGAGAGGATTCACCAAAGACAGAGTGAGTAACAGAACAGGCAGATTGACCAAAAAGACACTGCAGCAGCGGGGAGACAGGAGAGGGCTGCTGTGTCCTGTGGGTCAGCTTCCTGGCCAGGGGTGGAACTCGTGCTGCAGTATCTGAGGAGAGCTTCACAGTGCTGCGCTCCAGCCTGCTGCCCCACCAGAGAAGGCCTAAATGTACCCTTTCTCAAGGAATCCTAGCCGCCCGGAAAGCAGCATGGCTTTCCTCCTACTCACCGATACAGCGTTGTAAACGCTGTTTGCAATCCCCTCTGTTACACCTCACCTTGAATGTATGCTGTAAGCCTTCACCTCTCCTCCGCTAGGGGAGTTGTCACAGGAGAGAAAAAAGACTTGAGTCTGCTTGCCTGTGGCTGGCAGTGGAAGGGCCTCATAGAAGAATAGCAATGATGGAGAAGCAGAGATTAGATGTAATGCCTTTGAGGGAAATACTGTCTTCTCTTCCTCTCTCCAGTTTACCCTTTGGTAGTATCAGTGAAGGACACCCAAAATGTGCTAGTATCAAGCAGTGTAGAATTCTGTTTTATCAGTCAGCATTCTCATTAAAGACTTCTCATCTAATTACAGGCAAATGTCCATAATTACTAGAACCATTTTTGGAAGAGTGTTTCTCTGTGTTCTCCGTGTTACTAGTACTGGTTGAGATGGACTTATTTTATAATTAGTAAATGAGCAGCAAACTTATTGGTCAGCAGAATTTGAACTTATGTGAGACTATTCTTAGTTCTTACTAATTCTCTTCACGGTGAATAATAGATTTGCTGCAGAAATATTAATGGGTTTGATTATAGGATGCTCTAGCCTAATCTCGTTGCAGTCTCCTAGTATACAATGTAAATTATTTCCATTTATAATTCTAAAGCATTGTGATTCTGAAACACTTCTGGTATAGAGGATTTCAGATAAGCTATTTGTGGACCTACATTGCCTCTCACTGACCTCAAAATTACGTCCAGGCATTCTAGGGAGAGCCCAGCTTCTGACTACCTCATCCTCTGACACATTCTAGACCTAACAGACACTTCCTAGATAGACCCTTCTTTGTGCTGTGATTTTTCCTTGTTTACTATAGTCTACAAGTATCCCTTCTCACCACCTCTTTGCTGATCACACTTGTCCAGTTCACTATCTTCTCATCTTATTTCACTCTCCCCCAGCCCTCCATGAGCACTCCCCTTTCCCATGGCTTTCAGGTTTGCTCAGAATAAAACACAGACTCTTTGCAAGGTCAGCGAGCACCTTTATGGGTGAACACTGATGCCTGCAGTCTCCTTGGTGTGCTGCCCTTTGCTGACTGTTCTTCAGCTGCTCGTCCTCCAAGTCCCTACAACTTGCGGGTGCTCTTCTGTCAGGGCTTTTGCACTTGCTGTTTTCTCTGGAATACTTTTCTTCCAAATGTTTATGTTAGTTCTTCATTTCATTTGATTTTACTTCCTCAGGAAGACCCAACACCTCCCCAGTAAGACTTTTTTTTTTAAAGTTTATTTTTACATCA